ATCCTTTGGAATCAATTGGAATCGCCCATTCCCAATGCTTGTTTGGTTCATATGGGATTTGAAATCAGATTTCAATCATTGTTGTTTGGTTCATTTGGAGTTGGAATCAGAACCAACAAAAAATTTTCAATTTTATATTAGTCTTGTAATATTTCAATATTTTATTGTTACTTTATTATTATTATCATTATTATTATTATTATTATTATTATTATTATATTAGTCTTTAATAATTAACATCTTAGTATTTATTATTAATTTAAGAATATTTTATTAATAATATTATGATTTTGTTATTACTTTACTAATATTCTATTACATCCATGGGCAAAGTCAACAGAGCCATTGATTCACTATCAATAAAAGAGCTACAGGAGATTTGTGTACAACACCTCTCTACCACTGTTGTGAAATACCCCACAACTACAAACCCCCTTTTAAAACTTAAACAAAGAATATCCTCAGCTCCACAATGTTACCACAAACCTGGAAAAACACTATGAAAGCCAAACTTGCTAGAATAACCCCTTTGTTAAAGAAAAGGTTGCAGAGATAACCACCACACCCATCATTCCTTCTTTCTACTGCTCTCTCTCTCTCTCTCTCTCTTGTTACAAACAATGACTCAAGAGAAAAAGAGAAAGGACTTGTATTCTCCTGTATCTTTGTTTACATCATTTTCCATGGCTTCCCTGAATTTCTAATTGATATTCAAACTCTTCTTTCTATTATTTAATATTAGAACTAACGTTCAATATCTGATTCACTTATTTGTTTTTTGTTCTTTTTTTTTCTAACATTTGTCATACATATGCAACTACAACGTACATAATGGTTGGTGCCTTGTTCTTGTAAAAACCTTGGATCTTTTGACGAAGATTAGCTCTCTCTTCAAATCCAGACTATTTATTCCTTCACCCTTGGTTGTCATTTTCTTTTCTACTTAATTTGAATGGCCTGAAAAACAATATTCTTTTTTTATTCGGATCATCTTTATTTTTATCGGTTTAACTTTTTATTCCAAATGCATTGCCCCCATTACATCTAGTTGGCAACTTTCCTCCTAAATGATTTTAAACGAAGCAAGTTCCTGATTTTTTGGTAACTTCCCTCTTATATCAGAATTTTTGGCAACTTTTTTGTAAGGGAAATTGTTTAAAACTCCCCATGAGTTTTCAGTACTTCTCTTTAACTCATCACAACTTTTCAAAATGTCTAAAACTCACCATGTCACTAACTTGACGTTAAACATACTAACGGGTGCTAATATATTACCATTTTAACCTTTGTAGAAAAATATAAAATATTTACAAAATAAATTAATGGGTGTTAATATATTACCATTTTAATATTTAGGCATGAAAAAAGGAAAAAGTTTAAAAAATATTTTCAAATATAAAATACATAAAAAACATAGAAATTACAAAAAATATAAAAAAATTTTAGAAATTGCAAACAAAATAAAAATTATTTTCAAATTATAGAAACTATAGAAATTGAAAAACAAAATCATAAAATAAAAATTGTAGAAATAACGCCAAAAGTTATAGAAAAACACAAAAATTACAAATAAATAACAAAAAATACAGGAAAATTTATAGATTGTAGAAAATAGAAAATGTAAAAAAACAGAAATTATAAAAAATATTGGAAATTATAACAAAACACTAAAAATGCAAAAAAGAAAAAAGAAAATTGAAAACTGAAGAAGACCATTTTTCCTCTAACTTGCCATTCAAGGGGAATTTGGTCATGAAAATTGTTATTTATACTGACATAGACACCTCTGTTAAGAAGCATTAACTGTGCACTAATGGAAGGTGAGTTTTGGAAAATAAAAACTTACTGACATGGTGAGTTTTAGACATTCTGAAAAGTTGTGGTGAGTTTAAGGGAAATGTTGAAAACTCATGATGAGTTTTAGACAATTTCCCTTTTTGTAATATTATAATGTGATTTTTTTGGAGGAAGATGATGTGATCCAATGGGAGTGGGAGAGGATGGACGTGCATAAGGTGGCAAGTTGATGGCATTTTGAGGAAATAGAGAGTGAATGAGTGATAAGTTAGGATTGGGGGAAACGATCATTGTTTAGGGGGAGAGATAGAGGGGATGCCTATAAATCTATAATCAAGGGGATTAATATGCTTTAAAAGAGGAAACTTTGTGGAGTGTTGAGAGATAAGGAATAAAGAATGCTTTTGGGAGTCATAATTTTTGGGCAAAAAAATAGGGGAGATTGCCAAAGTTAGGTGGCAACTCTTAATGCTTCTAGAGGGAGTCTTGCACCCCCTCTAGAATTGTTCCCTTGGGGTAATGGAGTACAAAGAGGCCATTTGACATGGCATATATATATATATATATATATATATAATTTCAATTTTAAATATATTTATATATTTATTATTTAAACAAATGAATTCCCGAAAACACCTGTAAAGGGAACAAAAGATATGATATGAGGCATATCATATCAAAATTTTGATCCTTAGCCCCTAGAGCCAGAGTTGTTAATCAGTTCATGGGTCGGTTCAAATCAGTTCTGGTTCTTAGTTTTGTGTTCCAACTATAATTGAATTAGGATTGGTTTTTGCTGTTCTGAACAAATGAGGACCACCATTAATTATATAACTAATAATATATAAAAGTCTGGTTATTTTTAATATTTGTTATATTTTATGTCTAGATGAATAAATTTCATTGATTATATAATTGGTCATACTGCAATTATCCCATTTAACAATTGGCTTGGGATTGGTTCATCTTGTCCCAAATTTGACCAAGGTTTTAAAAATCGATTGAGAACCATAACCGTTTTGACCACCAGTTAATGGTTTGATCACTTGGGCCAGTGGGTCATTGACCAATTCAATGATTTTTTATTAGGGACCGAATTTGGGGTAAAGCAGAACTGATTGCCTAGACGGTTCCTGATCTGTATGGTCTGACCGTCTGGGTCAACAACAATTCAAAAACATTGAACTAGATCCAACCCATTGATAGCTCTACACAGGCTTTAGGCCTACTTAGTCCATCCACACTTTTAGGCTAAGTTTAGGAGTGCTTAAGAATAAATACTTATATGAATAAGTACTTATTTTGGGCTGGGACCACACTGACAAGCACTTATGTGTTCGTAAAATAAGCCGGAGATGAGAATAAGCACTTGTTTGAGATCCACAAATTTTGGGCTATTTTTAATTGCTTATTCAATAAATGTTTATTTCCTTTCTGGCCCATATTGACATGTCACATCATTTTGAAAATACCTTTATTACCCCTGTTTAGAATAACTGTTTTTTCATCAAACTCTCATAATTGCTTATTAGAATAAATACTTGTTTTTAAACACTTATTTTCAAATAAGAACTTTCAAACTTGGCCTTAGCCCTCATTTGGGAGTGCTTTCTGAGAAATAAATACTTATTAATATGTGCTTATCCTAATAAACACATAAGAATGTTTGGTGAAAAAACACTTCTTTAAAATGGAGTAATATAGGTATTTTGAAAATTACAACACTTTTTGGAAAATCACTTGAAAATATAAACAAAGTTCTGAACTTATTTAAAAACGGGCTTATTTCCTGAAAAAACACTTATTCAGTCTTATTTCACAGATGCATATATGTGCTTATTGGTGTGATCCGAGCTTAAAATAAGTTTTTTTTCTTGTGTCATTAAAAATAATCACTCCCAAACAGGGCATTAAAAGTCCGGAGACAGAGGAATCGTTTAACGAGTGCTTGGTCAGTACTTCTTGCCTTTTTTATAATTTTTTGGATTCACAAAGTTTAAGAGTGTAATATTAAATCGATAGAAGTTGGCGCATTGAGTGTAGTGTCAAGACAAATTCTTTTGTAACGATGCAAACAAACAATGTATTCATTCTGATGATGTATTGATGTGATCCAAATAAGGACACTACAAATGTACAGGAACATTAAATTCCTCTTACGCAGAACGGCCGTATTTGGACGTCATGGTGCGGCAACGAAAATGGAAATCCATCCACAGATTACTAGATTCTCTCCAACAGAAGGATTCGAAAATGACTATTCCCATTAAGGATTTCAAATCCATTCACATATGTGGTTAATTACTTAATTAATTTAAAATCCCGATAGATGGAATTTGCCCTTTCCAAAGGCTAAAATCCCCGAATCCCCCCATGGAAGCTCCTGTTAAATCCACTTGTTTTGTCCGTCAACTTGTACAAGGGATTCATGAATTTGGGCTCTTTAAACTTGCCACGTGGCTCACTTTCGGTGAGTCGAGTCCGTCAGAAAGGCAGTAGACGGGTACCATTTTGGATAGTGTCCGTCAAAGCACAAGCAAACCCAGTCTAACTGTACCCGTGCCATTTATCTTTAGTACTTCATAGAACATTTTTCTCCACCGTCCCAATGAAGATATTGGATATCGGATCGGGTGCCCGTAGTTTCAAACATCTATTCCTGCTGGTTTTCCACCAGTACACAGGTGAGCCCTAGGACCTAGGAGTAGGGCTGTTAATAGACTCCGAAGTCCGATATATGATTCGATACTAAATCCGATTACCCGGATTTGGATATTAGAAACTGTATCGGCTTAATAATTCACATCCGATACATCTGTACATAAATATTAAATAATTTAGAAGTAATTGGATCTTTAAAATAATTTTTTAATTGTTTACCATTTTGAGTACAATACGATGGATTGTCTTATCGGATTTTGAATTGGATTCGGATCCAAAGGTTTGATAAAGATGTAAATTGGATCCGATCCGATTACAACCCTGCTTAGGGCTTTAAAAGTGTAACAGATGGCAAATTAAAGGACCCAATACTGCTCAACGAGTCAAACAGCCCCAACCTCAATACATTTCGCAAAATAAAAATAAAAGGTAAGCTTCTAGTTCTAGAGTTGCTGCTGCAACTCGGCACAACTCGCCCAGAAGCTATGCTTAGATTACGAGTTACGACTCGACCCAATCAGGATTGAGTTCCCATTGGAACGAGTTGACCCCCGTTGCAAAGGAAGGGACAAATCGGACAATTCGGTCTATTCGATGGAGAGCCGAGCGAAAAGTAGACTCTCGGATATTTTCGGTGGAACCGTGTAGGAGAGGAGAGTGTGATGGAGAAGGTCTGCCGAAGAAGAAAGTCTAGCGCGGATCTCGAGTATTAATACCAGCCACATGCGGTAATTCCTCAGAGGTCGCACTCTCTAATCTCCATTCTCAGTCGTTCATTTCTTCTTCTTTCCGGTGATCAATATTTCATTTTGCTGGTAAATGGTCAGAGCTATGAAAGAAGCAAGCGTCGCTCCAGAGGGAGAGGTGGGCTTAAAGAAGATGAGAGGAATCGTCGTTCATGAGAGTTTTTGCTACGAAAAGGAAACCCAGCTTACGGTGCGCAAGACCTCTCTTTTCTTTGCCGGCGACGGGTTCTCCGTCTACGACTGCAAAGGTGAGGTTTTCTTCCGTGTCGAATCCTACGGTCCCGATGTCCGAGACAAAGATGAAGTTGTTCTCATGGACGCCTCCGGCAAGTGTCTCCTCACCGTTCGAAGAAAGGTCAGTCGAGTAATCTCTCTCTCTCTGTAAAACGAGTCAACTCGCCGGATTCTTATGAAACATAAACATTAGATGATTAGAATAACAAATACCTTGTCAATGGGTAGAAGAATCTCTTGGCATTATTGGGTAGCTTCTTGTTGATTGAAATCCAAATTTCCAATTTAGCAAATGAAATTCCTGTTATGTGACTCGGTGGTCTTTTGGACGACCCGAGTCCACATGAAAATTTCTATGAACTAAATATGTATTTTCCCTTATCAGAGGCCGAGTTTGCATCAAAGATGGGAGGGATTCTTGGGCGAGAGAAGCGAAGGAGACAAGCCCATCTTCAGCGTACGGAGATCATCGATCATCGGACGGTCGAGTGTAACCGTGGATGTATTCGGAAACCCAGGTGAGGAGTACCTGATCGACGGTTCGTTCCCGCAGCGGTGCTGTACGATCTACGATACATCGTTCAACTCGTCAAAGGAAGCAGTGGCCGAGATCAGAAGAAAAGTTGACGCGTCGACCAACATGGTGCTTGGGAGAGACGTTTTCTCGCTCTGTCTCAAGCCCGGATTCGATGCTGCATTCGCGATGGGCTTGGTCCTCGTTCTTGATCAGATCAACAGTGATCACGTCGTCGTGGATGATGGAGCCGAGGTTGATCAACCGGCGGAGGATGCATCTCCCTGATTATTCCGGATTTTTCAGATGTGTTTTATCCAACGGCTATAATCCGGTTCACGTGTACCCCTTCTCCCCTCCCCCTCTCAGACTCGGAAGATCAGAAAATATCGTTTTCTTTCTTTTTTTTTTAAATAATATTAATCTAATAAAATATTTGAAGGTTACATTTTTTGGTTATTTTCCGGAAAAGAGTAACCACTGGATTGGAACGTTAAAATTTCACCAAAAAAAAAGGAACGTTAAATCTGCAGATGATGAAATCTTGTTTTCTATTTGTCAGTGTGAACGAATTTACCACTGGATACTTGGATTGCCTCTCTCCACTATTCAAATTTCTGAGTGGTTCTATTGTCCTAATGGAGAGTTATGAGGCTGAAATGCTCCATCAAAGTAAAAGGCTGTCCTCAGTTCACGTTATGTTGTCAGTGATAAAGGCCCAAGCAATTCTAACTTATCCTTGTCCTCTTATTATTAGCTATTGTTTGGAAGTAAAGAATCTAGAAAATAGGTTATTATTTGATATTGTTTTGGAAGTAAAGATTCTAGAAATTAGAATATTATTAGCTATTGTTTGGAATTGAAGAATTAAGATGGTTTGATCATGCACATAGAATATTATTTACAGCATTCAAAAGAAAGTTATTGCTGGAAGTTGAAGGGGTTAGAAGAGGTAAGCAAGTCAAAAAATGTAAGTTGGAGGGATTAGAAGAGTTTGGCGTAGATAAAAAATGATGTAGATTTAATGAAAAATGATTAGTATGTATTTGATATAGCTTCTTTTTATTAAATAAATATTTGTACTTGATTTATCTTTAAAATTGAGAAAAGTATTTGATAAATCGTTTATGGACAATTAGGTGCCACTAGGCTTCACATTAATGGACTAGTGAATAAAACTCAACTGTTGGGAAAGGGTTAAAATGAAGATTCCTTTAACGGTTGATGTACATATAAATCAAAATCTACTTTTGTGAATATCGATGCATATGGATGAATGTAATGGAAAAAAATGTTGATTTGATGATGATATTGACCGCATTTTAATAAACACTTATCACAAAACACCCACAAAACAAAATTCACATTTAAGCATTTATAMTTTAACAATGGAAATGATACTAATGGTGAACACCACTTTTTTGTTTTTTATGTTGAAAGACAAAATATAACAGCCACATGAACAAAAATGTGGCATGACAGTTGTTTTTGTTTTAAAAAACAAAACCATTCACATCGTTGAACACCCCCTTAAGATTTTTGTGGTACATCTGTTAACTTTATGGATCAGTTATGTGTTTGACTAGACACGTAGCCCTTCTGTGCATGCCTGGTTTTAGGGTTGCAAAATGGTATCCTATTTATTCAAATTTGAATTAGAATTTCAATCCTATTAAGGGTGATCCAGATTCGATCAATTTTAATTAGATTATATATGGATTCACCTCTACCCAATCTGATATAATCCGACTCAATTTGATATAAATACATGCACCCATGTATAATTAAGGCTAAATTAGTTCGAATGTTGTATTTTTACTAAATTGGCATAAGCTCAAGTATCCAAATCCGGTTCGAATTCTATAAATATGATCCAATTCAAATTTGAATATAAGGCTCAATTTCGAAGGAATACAAATATAAATATGAAAAGTGCAAAAGCCTAAACAAATCAAATTTGATTCTATTTATATCCAATTCTCGATCAATTTGCATCCGTACATGATTTTTATCATATTTAAAGTATTCTAACGAGATAACGTGAGCCCCAAGCTATACTAATCTCCACATTTTGGAAGACAAACTTCCCTTTAAGAACCGAGGAAATTGTTTTTTTTTTTAGTTTTCTTATAAGTTTTTTTAGGAAATTAAATTCCTTTTTGAATCAATCAATCAAGTGCGGGATGCGAGGAGAATTATAGAATTTCCTGCAAAACAAATGGAGCAATGGTGTTAAAGAAAACGATGTGTGTGGGCACACAGGACCCAAAAAAATTATTATGGGCCTGTCACTCAACCACTTTTCTCATGTTGAAGGGATCAGGTTCCACAATTGAAAAGGGGCCTTCGATGAGATAAAGAAGAAGCAAAGCTAGCTTCAAACATAACCCTAATCGGTTAATTGTCTCGTTTTACTATATGTGTTTGGGTTGTTTTGAAATGAAAGCCCACTGGGTCACGGTTTTATCATTTAACCGGTCTGCTAGATCGTTTACATCAAAATCAGTGTTTTCAAAATTAGACGGTTGGACCAGAAAAATCATGAATCAGTCACTTGACAGGTTTCATTTCACCTCAAAACTATGTTTTAGCTAAAAAACGTTTATTTGGTCAGTGAACCGTTGAATCGCATGGTCAAATCATCAAACCGGGCAATGATGTTTGACCGTTTTTTATTTTTTTATTTTTTGTCAAAGTGGGCCATCCGTTTGATTTGAACGGTCAGACCAATTGACCTGAAAATCGGACCCCAGAATGATTCCTTGTCCGGTCCAGTTTTAAAATCCTTGCATAAAAAACCAGGACAAATGAAGGTTGTGTTTGGTATGATTGGTGTTTTCAACATGCAATGTTTTGAGTTGAAACAATGTTTATGCTTGAAACACAAACACCACTGTTTATACTTAGAATTTCGTTTGGTTAAAGAAGTGCGTTTTTCTTCATTCATGTCAGCACCACATGAGTGCTATGTCAGTGAGGGTGTTGAGACTTTTGAACTGTTTTAACTCAAAATATATAGTCTCCAACCAAACAGAAATTTGACCGTTAAATTCAAAATGCTTAGGTGGCGCTAGCTGATGTAGCTGTACCACCAAATAGCTGGGCAAATACCTGAGAATTGGAGTCTGAATAATTTCGTTTTGATTCTCAAATATTATCATTTCAAACAAAGTTGTTTTCATATTTCAATCAATTAAAAAATAGAAAGTGTTGAATCTCTGAAGTTTTTAAAAGACCCGTTTTCATATTTTAAGCAAACGAAAATGACTCCTACGAACACAAAATGTCGATATGTGGTTGTCATGCAATGGTGGTATTTAAGCACTCAACCAGTCAACATGAAACTCTATCTTTTGCTATAATAAGGTTTGATGATGCTGTTGTAACCAGTGACCACCAGAACAATTGTTCCTTCATGTTTCTGCAAGTTCAAAGGCAAAAGCAACTGAACCAGATTTCTTTAAAAGCAAAAAGCATGTGAACACATTGAGATTTTGCATGGGGAGATGTTCTTAATATGCGGCTAGATATTGTGTTATTAGTGTGTTTACATGCTCTTTGCTTTCAGTAGATTCTGTCTCAAAGCAACTTGGCTCTTAGTCAGTTTTATGGGGCACCGATCATAAAGGCGGTGACGAGGAGCATGGAAGCTTTTCTGGTTTTTTATTACTCTCAAACTCAATGGGTTTCCCTATTAGTTGATCCCCTACCCCTAGTCCACTGATATATATATATATATATATATATGATTTTTTTTTTTTTTTTACATTAAAGCAGGATTTGATTGCATATTCAAAGAACGAAAACAAATGGTCCCCCTAAAAAATGATATTCGATTGCAAAGCAATCATGTTCTATTTTTCTGGGTTTTTTCCTTTTTTTTTTTTGTCTTTGATAAGAAAGCTCAGTTTGTTTGCAGTGCAAATTTTAATTGCACTAGTGTTAATTTGAATAAAAGGGTGCAAATGGGCTGCATGTAAATCCTGGTTTAGTTTTGCTAGCTGCAGATTTGATTGTATTTTGTTTGTCTATAAGAAGTTAAATGATCAATGTCCCCACTTTGTATGAAAGAGAATGGAGACTTGATTTTTTTTTGAGTGACCCGTTTGAATATCTTCTAAGCAAATGAATATTCATTAATAATGCCATCACAATTTTTAGATGCAAAATTTGCACTGCCAAACTGAAATAGATATGAATACAAAACTGAAATCAGTGCAAAATTTGTATCCAGTTAAGATTTGCACTGTAAACAAAGACAAGATAGTTGAGAAATAGGTGACTTTTTGCAAGTTATGAATCAAGAGGACCAACTTCCGTTTTGAAAATGTTTCAAGAAAATATTTTCCACAGCCATTTTACATGGAAACCAAATGACATAGAATGGAAAAGGGAAGCAACTTTTTAGGCTCAGTTTGAAATGAGTACAAATACAAATATGTAGAGTACTGCAAAACCTTGTTTTTATATTATTTTGTATGTATTTGCACTGTACATTTTTGTATTTGTACTCTTTCCAAATTGAGTGAGGCAGAGGGAAGGAAAAGTTTTAGACTTTTAGCTATAAAAGGGGTGGAAAAATCTATCTGGAAATTTTCAGTCCCTTTAAAAGTGAAATTCTTTCCATTCCCAATGTCATTATTTTTGCCTTATCAGTTTGGAAGGAGTACAAATACAAATAAGTAGAGTGCAAAACCAAAAGTTGTCAGATGAAATTTATCCAGTATGTTTAAATAAATGGAGCCAGGGGAGATCAGTATTTTAGAAATTTCCTAGGGCTCTGTTTAGACCGGGTACAAATTTTGTACCTATTCAATTTTGCATCCATTTGTTTGTAACTATGATTTGCACTTAAAATTCACACTTTTTGTCTTATTTGAACACAAACTAGCGGTGCAAGTTTGCATCCCAGAAACTGATGCAAAATTTGTGAAACCTTTTCCCTATGACCCTATCTCAACTCTTTGGTATAAAGTGGGAACCACAACGTCCTGCTTCCTACCTCACTCCCAAACAAATAACACCCTTCCTATCTTCATTGTTTTTCATATGAAATTAGAACCACTTCATTTTATTTCTCACAAACAAATAAGACAAAGAGAAGCAAAAATAAATCATAATTTACACTCAACCCATTTAAACTTGTTAACACCGGTACAAATGAAATTCGCCCTGCAAACAAACTGTATGTACCTAAGGTGATAATCTGTTCAAAATCTCTCTTGGGCAGAATTGGGAAGTTCTTCAATTCAGAAAGGTTTTGAAACTTCATCCAAACACACATTTTCTTTTCTTTTTTTAAGGCTGCATTCGGTTGCAATGCAATTTTATTTGCACTAACATAAATGGATAGGAGTGCAAATGAAAAGAATGCAAATTTTGGTTTAATTTTATTTTAGGTTTTATTTTATTCTACTACAGGTCTTATTTTACTTCATTTGTATTGCAGTCAAACAAAATAAAATAATATTTGAAATAAAAATAAATCAAAATTTTCATCCAAATCATTTGCACTACCAATATAGCCTAATTTTCTTTTGACACAAGATATGTT